TGCCAAGTGTCCATGAACTTTTGTTATGTGTGTGTGTGTGTGTGTGTGGGGAAAGACGATGTAATACTGAGATAGATATTTGAAATAGATCCCATGATAGAATTATTAAAAGATAGATAGTTAATGTAGATATTTAGATGAATTGATAGATAAAGATAGATTTATACAGAGGAGTTTATTATATATATATATATATATATATATACTAGTAACTAATCCACACTCACAGATTGTAATAGAGTATAATAGATAAGAAAACAGACCTAATATTATTGATAAAAACTACATAAACAGAATTTGCCCACACACACACACACACACACACACACACACACAGACACACACACACACACGTTTTCCCGTTAACAAAATCCAAACAGAAAAGGTAATAAATGTTCTTTAGTAAACTAAGTAAACCAAAAGATGCATCAAAGTTTACCTCATCAGGTGAGTCATGTGCCGGCGTGAGGCTAGAGGGAAGTATTATTGTGTGTCAGGCTGGAGGGAACCCACTTTGTTTTACCTTCATCTGGGAAATACTAAATCTTCCTGAGAATTCTTTTGTGCGAGTTTTCTAAAAGGACAAACTTGTATGTATATATATAATATCTATAATTTCTTTTGTTTATGTTCTAACCTAACCTAACCCAATATAGATGTTTAGAACTATTGTAATGGCAGCCCAGATGTACATATAACAATTCCCTAAACATAGCCTATATGTTTATAATCACCTTCGTAATAAGACCCAGATGTTTATAACTATTAATAACCTGACCCAGGTGTCTTAGATAAATAAGTTACTCTAAACTTCATCTCGGGACTAAACTTAAACATTATTGCATTTATTTGCACACAGTTGGTCGGTTATTGATTCCGTTGTCTCACAAGTTCCTTGCCAATAGTTGCTTACTCTTGGCTACCAGAGATTGTCTGTCTTAAGTTTGTTCTTTTCATAACCTAACCTTACCTTCATGTATGCTGCTGACTAACACAACAGGTGTGTGTTGGTGACTGTAATACTGCAGGTGTGTGCTGGTGACTGTAACTGGAAATAATTTAAATCAAAAGTACATTGCATTAAGAAATTATAGCACCAGGACTCTTACGGTGACGCACACACACACACACACACACACACACACACACACACACACACACACACACATGCCAGGAAGAAATATATCCGCTCCTAATAATGTTCCTCAACCGCAACTTCCGCCACCAACATCAGTTCATCGATTTTCAAGGATGGACATTCTGAACTCCTCTGAATATACATTTCCAGGAAATTCTAGTGACAATAGAGCTCCTGGAACTGATTATAAAAAAGAAAACTTGCAATACCTGTCAGGTTGAGTGACAGTCACCAGAGGAACACTGCCTTTAGGACGCGATTCAATATTCTGGTAAAAACAATCGCGCCCCAAAAAATCCATCAAAACGATATTTCGCATATTGTGTGACGAAATCGAATCGCATTGTTTATGTTTTGGTTGATAAGCCAGATGTATGATGATTATAATATGAGAGAGATTGACTCGCCATAGGATTGAAGTTTCTTTGCTATACTCATTATGGATTTAGAGACATTAATAGTAAATGGTGTTTTATAAATCAGTAATGAGATCGTCACTAAATTACGAAACACTGTTAAATACTAATGCAAGGGATTTAAGGACTGCGGTCTCTTCTCTCAACCTGCATAAAGTTTTCTTGTGATATTTGGCAACTGATTAATATGCACTTCGTAAATATAATACTAATAAGAGTAAAGATCCATATATAACTTTTATTTCTCTCCAGTGTTTGAAGTTCTTATTTAGTGGAAAATCTAAGGCATTGGAGACCAGTGATTAAAGATCCTGGTAATTGAAGCAACTGAATATATTAAACTACAAAAATAAATATACATAGGTTGTTGACGTTGTTGTTATAATGTCACTACACTCGTCCAGTGACCCAAAAAAAGACGCATGACACATATATAAAATTCAAAGATGCACACACGTATCTCTCTCTCTCTCTCTCTCTCTCTCTCTCTCTCTCTCTCTCTCTCTCCCTTATTATTGTGGAAAAAACAAAAATTCACGTAATACTTTAAATCTTGCTTGAAAACGATATCCCTCGGGTGAAAAAAAATCCATCAGTTAAATCAGGGAAGTTGGTGTTTTTTTCGGGTAATTAAACGAAGTAAAAAGAAAAAAAAGCGACACCAATTTATATGGAAATTTAAAAGGTATTAAATTCCTGAGGGGCTTTACTCTCTATCTTGACTTTCACCAATTATTGGATATTTTTGTGTTAAAAGCTAAATGATGCAGTGGTTTCAATATCAACGACAATGGAAGGTAGGAGAGTGAAGGAGGGAATTAGAGAGAGGGAGAAGAAAGGTGGGAAGGAATGTGAGAGAGGGAGGGAGGAAGGAAGGGAGGGAGGGAGGAAAGGTGGGAAGGAGGGAGAAAGGAGGAGGGAGGTCGGAAGAAAGGTGAGAGTGAAGGGAGGAATTAGAGAGAGGGAGAAGAAAGGTGGGAAGGAAAGAAAGGAAGGATATAGGAGAGGGAAGAGATGGTTTAGATAGGTCAATACTGTACACAAAAGGATCTCGTGTAAATAGGTAGACAGAGATGGAAGCAATAGTCATGATAAAAGACAGACAGACAGACAGACAGAGAGACAGGTATTACCAAGGAACACGTGATCGACCTTCACAAACAGGGTGATTTAGAAGTCAATATGCATCTCTTACAAATATACTCAATGAATCTCAGTCTCACACACTGGTGGATATGAACTGTGATTATTGTCCACCGAGATCTTACAATAATACTTTTAGGTGGTCATCGTTCGTATACCCGCGTCTAGAAGGAAGTTAATCCCCAGAAAAAAAAAAGAACTTACTCTAATCTGAAACATAAACACGAAGATTAAAAACTCTCATTAGATATAAGTTATATTTCTTGTATTATATCAAAGAGTGTGTTGTGTGAAGGGGTCTGTGAGGTCTGTTGGTCTCACACACACTCACTTTCCTCTTGAGACACGATAAGACACGTATTCTCAGTAACGTTAGGTAAACAGGGTCATTTTCTGAGCAGCGTTTAGTGTAGTGAAGTATATCGTCTTCTCTCTCTCTATATATAATAAATTTTCAACGTAAATTTGGTTATTGTTTCAGTATATACAGTATAGCCATATTTTTTTTCTCAACCACGTAGACATCAACTCCTCTTCAATTCTAGCAACTCTGTACTGGTTTATAATCAAGTATGGCAACTCTGTACTGGTTTATAATCAAGTATGGCAACTCTGTACAGGTTTATAATCAAGTATGGCAACTCTGTACAGGTTTATAATCAAGTATGGCAACTCTGTACAGGTTTATAATCAAGTATGGCAACTCTGTACAGGTTTATAATCAAGTATGGCAACTCTGTACTGGTTTATAATCAAGTATGGCAACTCTGTACAGGTTTATAATCATGTATGGCAACTCTGTACAGGTTTATAATCAAGTATGGCAACTCGTGTTTACATTGGGAAGGCAAACGTGTACTGTAACTATAAAATTAATGTATGTACTAATAATAGCGATTCATAGCGTCTTGTACTGAGTATAACGTAAGTTGAAGCAAAATATATTCAGTGCTTTCAGAGTGGGGGAAGAGAGGGGAAGACTACACAATGTTAGATGAGTGGGGGGCGAGAGGGAACAGCACCACAGTTTATAATGAGTGGGGAAGACTACACAATGTTAAATATAAGAGTAGGGGAATGAGAGGGAACAGCACCACAGTTTATAATGAGTGGGGAAGACTACACAATGTTAAATATAAGAGTAGGGGAATGAGAGGGAACAGCACCACAGAGTATAATGAGTGGGGAAGACTACACAATGTTAAATATAAGAGTAGGGGAATGAGAGGGAACAGCACCACAGTTTATAATGAGTGGGGAAGACTACACAATGTTAAATATAAGAGTAGGGGAATGAGAGGGAACAGCACCACAGAGTATAATGAGTGGGGAAGACTACACAATGTTAAATATAAGCGTAGGGGAGGAGAGGGAACAGTACCATAGTATATAATGAATGAGTGGGGGAATGAGAGGGAACAGCACCACAGTTTATAATGAACGAGTGGGGAATGAGAGGAATAACTGAAAAGAGAAGAATATGAATTTTCTCTACGTGTCCTAAAGCGGTGAGGAATGAGAGAAGCGGCTCCTAACTCCCTGGAGACACCTGCGGCTCTCGATAAGAAATACAATTCAGTTTGGCAAGTTTAGAAATCTGTTTTTTCTTTGTGTAGGGTAACTGTTGAAGTTTGTGAAGGTCTGTCTGTGTGTGTGTGTGTGTGTGTGTGTGTGTGTGTCTGTCTCTCTGTGTCTGTCTCTCTCTGTCTCTGTTTCTGTCTTTCTTTTTGTCTGTCTCTCTCCTGTCTCCGTCTCTTCAGCTCAGACCAACTGCCTTTGAAACTCTAAAAAAAAATAGCATCAATTTGTCTTGGTCTCAGCAGTTGTGTCACATTAGGTCTTGTTGAAAACCTTAAATTCCTTTATTCATGTTAAATTCCATTTTCCGTCGAATTTTCGGCTTAACCATCTTTAAGGTTAAAAAAAATGTGTGTCCTTGCTTTTCATAAATCTCCGTTTTCTTTTTCGAAATTTTTAGCATACGACAGTAAAGCGATAGCGATCTTATCACTCGCCACCATATCCTCGGTTGGATTCCTGTCCCGGGTCAGATGTGAGAAGGTTATATAGTACGACCTTACCAAACATGGCAGGTTTTGTCCGGGTACTCCAGTTTCCTCCTGTAAAAATATTGAAACATGAAGGATAAACTCGTCAGGAAAAATATGGGATAAAACAAGCCACCACCTTCCTTTTCCCGCTAAAATGGGGATATTATTTTATAAATTTTATCATTCTCGTTTTCTTATAAGAGCAAACTACTTAAACTTTGTGTTCTAATTCCCGTTTTTTTTTCTTTCCAGGGCAACTACCTTAAAGTTTGTAAGAATCTACACAGTGAGCAAATCTCCAAGTTACTGGCGAAGAACCAACAGGAGTGTGACTTGTTAGAGGATATAAGGTAAGTTAAACCTACCCAATATTTACTGTAAGTAGCACAAGGTATATGACACTGTAGGTATAACAAGGAACAACTAGGCCTATATTACTAATTATCACAGGTGCACAGAGACTTTTCTAACACACCTGTATATATAAGCTGATTCAGCAAAGAGTTCATTAAATTAGAGGATGAAATTCTTGGATAATTCTCAACCACAATGTCTATGGTAAAATGTCCGAGAGGAATTATGCCCACTTGTTCGTGACAGGTGCAGGCAAATTAAACATAGCTCAGGCATTCTGGAACGCGTTAGACAATCAATAGTATGATGTGTACAGGCCTGCATTAAGGTAGAAGGGGGCAACTTTGAACATTTCCTATAACTGTAGAGATCTGTGAATAAATGATTACAAAAAAACCTACGGGAGTTTCATATCACATTCACTCTTATTAATACAACATCTTAAATGTTTTGTAGCATGGAAACTATGCAGAAGCTAACATTTTACCATAGAGACATTATGGTTGAGAATTATCCAAGAATTTCACCCTCCAATTTAATGAACTCTTTGCTGAATCACCTTGTATTTAACACACCTGTACATAACACACCTGTACATAACACACCTGTATATATAACACACCTGTTTATAAGACACACCGGTATATATAAAATCAACGCACTGTTCATATTTATTATAAAAAAAAATCTTGTGTAATGTTGGAGTTAACCTTTTCTCGTTCTTCCTTTTCAGAAATTTCACAAAACAGAGATCCTCGATAGAAAAGAGTTATGGGGAGGTAAGTGGACCAGCCTCTGTGTTTCAATCTTATGTATGCAAATTAGCTGCCCAGGTAATATATAAACAGTAATTGGAAACGTGAAACACCTGTCTTTGTAAGCTATTTGTGGAAGGATAAGTAGAAAAACAGATAAAGAGAGGGAAGGAAAACGAATGAGAAATGGATACAGAGAGAGAGAGAGAGAGAGAGAGAGAGAGAGAGAGAGAGAGAGAGAGAGAGATGAATAGACTTGTAAATAGAAAGAGAGAAAGACAGACAGACAGACAGACAACAAGCGTGTGTGTGTGTGTGTGTTTTGATATCAAATAATTTCACTACAACAATTAACCATTATTTAAGCACAATAGGCAAAATATCAATCGACAACACAGTCAGTTAGAGCTACTGTAAAACCAAGCCATGAAATACGTGCAGTAATTTTTATTTATTCAGACTATTAAAACAATCAACTATGTCCATACACAGCGGGGGAAATATAATACCATTGATAACTACAGTAACACACACACACACACACACACACACACACACATACACATACACACATGCGCGCGCGAGGCCAATTATTATAATTTTATTTGGGTAACACCAGACGATTTTGTTCAGCATCGACACCCCCGTACATAAGGGGTTAAACTTCTCCCCCCTTACACCCCAGATACCCTCTTCCCCCCCCCACTCCTCCTCCATACACTTCCTTCTCCCTCCTCCTCCTCCATACACTCCCTTCTCCCCCTACTCCATACACACCCTCCACTATACTAACATGGAGTAACACAGTTATCACTCCTCTAACATTACCATTTTAGTAAGAATTCTAAGTAAAGTGTTTTAAAAGTATCATGTTAAGTAATTATTAAATGACAAAAGTAAAGAGATTGATTCATCATTGACGCTGAAAATCTAAAGAAAAAAAACATTATTTTTTTCTTTCAATTGTTGATTTTTATTTATTTTTTCTATATCAGTCGTTTAAAAATCACTGAAAATTTAAATTCTGGGAAGGAAAAAAAATTGTCACCCCGCTTACTGGATAAAATTGACGTAGTGGAAGAAGAAAAAAAATAATTAGAGGAAGAGGAAGAATGTGATAAATGTATGAGGATGATTATGATAAAGGAAGAGGGGGAATAATGAGAGAGAGAGAGAGAGAGAGAATAACAAACGAAGGGGGAGAGAAAAAATAAGATAAACGAAGGGAGAAAAGAGAAAAAAATGAAAGATATGAGACACAATAATATTATCCTATGCACAGTGAAAGCAAATATGTGTTCTATCTGCCTTTGCATTTTCTCTTTTATTTTATTTCATTTCGTTTTATTTTTCATTCCCATGAGTTTATTTCATCATACTGTGTCGAGGTAAAAAAAAAACGTGTTCTGTCTGTCTCTGTCTGTCTGTCTGTCTGTCTGTCTGTCTCTGTTTGTCTCTGTCTGTCTGTCTAAGAACTTACCGCTCAAGATATAACAGTATTTTTATTAACGAGTATTGAGTATTTATAAACGGGTTGTTGAAGGGAGATAATATTACCTCATTTGATTGTTCACATTTTAAGATTATTATTTTTTATTTATTTTTTATTTAGATCGTGTCTCTTATACAGTGAAACATCCATATAACGAACTTTTTTCTTAATATAGTCCGATAAAAAGAGGTTTCACATCTAACGAACCCTCTCTATAACGGACTTTTCCTCTCCATATAGTCCGTTAAATAGAGGTTTCACAATATATAATTTGGACGATAGTTTGGCCGCCAGTTTCGTGCCGTACCTTAAGCGAGTCAATTAATTAGTGCGTCCTCACACCTGCCGCTAGTGGGAGTATTCAGTGTAGTAACCTTTGAGAACGAGTGTGCCCAGGTGTGGAGAGAGAGAGAGAGAGAGAGTAATGAGCATTATATACGGTGTTTGAGTCTTATAGTGGGTTGTTGATCATCTTGGGGAAATGACCTATTTTTTGTCTTCTCTAACCTAACCTAACCTAACCTAACCCAACCTAACCTAACCTAACCTATTTTGATATCGTCATGATCTGCTCCGTCCCAGGATGAAGAGGTCTCGCTCCCTCACAACGAGTCACTAATTTAAACTTATATTTACCCTGAAGAAACGAAGTAACAGCAGGTGTTTTGTAGAAGTAACAGCAGGTATGGACAGGAAATAGCAGGTGTTTTATAGAAGGAACAGCAGGTATGGACAGGAAATAGCAGGTGTTTTATAGAAGGAACAGCAGGTGTGGACAAGAAGTATAGCAGGTGTCTTGAAGTAGGTACAGCTTTGCCTAAGACGCTGCTTCCTGTTCACTGAGGCAGTAAATCAAGTTCGATTTTCAATTTACAGGATGTTGACAGGGAGGATCTGGGGCAGGATGGCTGGCTACTCCCTCGATGGTGGTCCTGGAGGGTCGTGGTGACTGATTTATGTATTGGTAAAGGAGCAGTGGGAAGGAGGATGAAGGAGAGATTCGAGGGAGTAGTGACCTAGTGACGAAGGAAAGAATTGAAGGTTTATTTGCGGTGAGGAGATAGTGAAGGGAAGAGCCGAGATAGTGAAGGGAAGAGCCGAGATAGTGAAGGGAAGAGCCGAGATAGTGAAGGGAAGAGCCGAGATAGTGAAGGGAAGAGCCGAGATAGTGATGGGAAGAGCGAGATAGTGAAGGGAAGAGCCGAGATAGTGAAGGAAGAGCCGAGATAGTGAAGGGAAGAGCCGAGATAGTGAAGGGAAGAGCCGAGATAGTGAAGGGAAGAGCCGAGATAGTGATGGGAAGAGCCGAAGAGCCGAGATAGTGAAGGGAAGAGCCGAGATAGTGATGGGAAGAGCCGAGATAGTGAAGGGAAGAGCCGAGATAGTGAAGGGAAGACCCGAGATAGTGAAGGGAAGAGCCAGGTTGTGGATATTGGAATGAAGATGTATGAGTGATGAGAACTAGGTGAAGGTGTAGGTGTGGGTGAAGGTGTGGGTGAGGGTGTGGGTAAATGCGTTGTGGTGTTTTTGTTATGGAAGGCGGTGATTGTATGTGGGTAGTGAGTGTCTCATGAAGAAAGTGGCCGAGAGGAGGATTCAGGTACCGTGACTGTTGGATTGACGTGAGATTTTTATTCTGTAATTGTCACTAAAATGTGGGAATGGTTCCTCTTGTGACCGACTGAAGTTTAGATTTAATAGGAAGTAGAAATTATAGGTATAAGTTCAGTCAAATAAGGATTATAGAATTACACTGAAAATAGACATTAGATACCTCAAGAGAAAGTAATTAGGGACGAACACTCAGACAATGATGAGGCGACAGTCAAGATATTTTTGTCCTGAACGAACACCTGTCATCATGTAGAATTGTCCACAAAGGTTCATGGAGGCTCCTACACTACCCTGAACCACCTGAATATCCCGCTGAAAGTTAACTCACTTCAGATAAGCCTAAAGAGACGTTCGCCAGCGGAATATGAGGCTGTAGAACTTTACTCAATCGTTTCTGGTGACCGTGAGTGGAAATTCACCCCACGGAGAAACGACTCTGAATTTTGAGAGAGTTTTACCGAAGATGAAGACTACTTGAGATATGTCCTGTAGATACGTCCACGATAACATAACACCACAGGATTGATCATCCCTCTGGTGTATATAACCGATATCCAACCCATAAATAAAAAAATAAAAAACTCAAATATGTGATAGTTCTATTGAAGATTAATCCACTTAGCTCCGTCCTGAAGACACTTTGGCAAGGATTATATCACGGAACCAATCGTCGCCTTAGCTACCCCTTGGCGGCCATAAACGGAAACACCCGCCAGATGTACGATATCTGGTGAAAAGTGTGACGTCGTGAATCCAGAAGTTGGGTATAATTGAGGGTGGTGCAAGACGTAAAATTTTCTCACTTTTAGAGGATTGGTAAAATATTCGAACTCTCCAAATGGGTGAAGTTGGATGATGTGTAGGAGGGTGGTGACACTCTCCCACTGTGATGACCTCAATGATCATCACACGATAGTTTCATTAACCTTCCGCCCACGACCTGAGACCCAATCTAACTTCAAATAACTAACTTTAACCTAACTTCACCTAACCAACCATACTTAACTATCCCCCTAACACAACTTAACCTCATTTATCATTTATTAATCTAACTTCAAGTAACCAACCTAACTTAACCCTGGCGGCTTAACGCAATTTAACCTAACTTTACTTAACCTGACCTGACCCAAACGTCACCTAACCTAACCTACTCCTTAAATAACCCAATTTAACTTAGCTTAACCATAACATAAAATATCTAGAACAAAAAATCAGACCCATTTATGTTATCCATGAGTTAGTTTGGCCCGATACATGATCCATGATACATGTTCAATAATACTTGATACATGATCCATAATATTTAATACATGATCCATATTTTAATCATTAACAATAAAATTAAAATCGAAACCTCATTATCAGCTTAAATTTCGATATAAACTTATGCCTTATTTATGATATAACTTACATAATAAATCATGGTGGAAACTGAGAGAACTTTTGAACTTATACTATACAAAATGCCTTTAGTGTCAGACTGTGGATTTAATGATACGGATTTGGATATTTTTAAGAGGTGGTCAATGGGTTTACTGTCCTGGTAGAGTCTTCAATGTTTAGTCACCCTTAAGTTTGTTTTTCCTTACCTAACTGCTATTATTTTTCCTACGTGAGGGATGTTTTTCTTACCTGCAGATTAAGACAATAACTAGTTAAAGGCCGCCTCTATTCTCACAGTAGTTAATTTGCCTTCACTATATACCTAGCCAAGATGAGAACTATGTGACCTGAGGGAGTTAGTTAACGCCATGTTATATTTTCACAGCCATGTAATCAGAGCCTCACCTAACTGATAAAGATATTCACAATTGAGGGATTTTTAGTATTCAAGTGTATCTTAATGTGGTGAATGGCCAATTCTCCGGCAGTCTTGTTTACTCTAGTGAGTAGTTTGAAGAAAAATGTAATTTCAGTGAAATTCTCGA